GTTCACGAAAACGGGCCTATTTTTTGTCAAAAAAGGGCATAGATAGTCTTTAGGAGGCTTATAGAGTAAATAAGCCCCTAAGGGCCGTTTTTTGCTCATTTCTGCCCTTTCAGCACTCTGAAAGCCTCCTAAAAGCTATGTACAGCCATTTTGGTGAAGGGGTAGGGTTTCAGGAGGAAAAAAAAATGCTGTATTCAGTGTATAAGACTCACCCAGATTTTCAGCCTCTTTTTTGAGGGAAAAGGGTGTCTTATACTCTGAAAAATACAGTAATTTTCTGATTTAGCATAAAAAAGCTGAATCAAATAACAAACACATTTGATGTTCCTACTCCAATTTATTAATTCTCTCCTAAGGAACTGAATATATTTGTAAAAAATTATCACTTTAAGAAGTAATGTTCAGAGGTTAGGTGATTTTTAGACATCGAAATTAATGATACATGGGAGATTTTCCAACATGCCTTTGTTGTCGTTGACATAAAAACATGAGAGACAGTGGTTTAATGAGATCTCAGAATTGATCAGGGATTTCAATCAGGAAATAATATGAGGAATAAGAGATTAAACATGGATCACAACCAATTTTCCATATCAGCTATTAATTTCTACAAAACAAAGAAGAGACCACTGATTGCAAACTTTTTGTCATTTTGGCTGTAAGAACTACTTTTAAAGGAACAGCGGATCTGACATTTTCATTTTAGGAGAAGGGAAAACTGTGTTTGTTGTGGATAGCATTCTGCAAATAGAAGGGAAAAAACGTACACTTCCTGAATGTTAATTCTGTTACAGACTTTGATGACTGCAAAATGTGGGGCATTTGTGACCAAGAGTGTGAAGATCGTGATGGTCACCATCACTGTCGATGTGCCGAAGGGTATGTCCTGGAGCACCACCGTCATTGCCGAGCCAATACCTCATGTGAGTCAATATCTCTGAAATCTGATTCCCTCCCTCCTCCCTTGATGAAATAATATTGCCTTACTTTCTTTCAGGTATTTGAAAGAAAAGCCAATTATAGGCCTGTCCTTGAGAATAATGCTGGTTTGCTTTAAATATCACAGTCCCTTCCAACACAGTATTGCCACTAGCTCTCCCATCTATTTATTGTTCTTTCACTTTCTTCATTGGGAGAGGGGAAGGTGGCAGTGCAGGTGACATTTGAAGCCCAATCTTGTTTTATCCATGGATGAATGGATGGGATCAGTGGTGGATTCCTACCAGTTTGGACTGGTTCAGCTGAATAGGTAGTGGTTTGGTGGCCTGGGTCACTGGAACTGGCAGAGACGGTGGCATGCCATGCCTCCGAACCAGTTCTCCAGGTGGAACCATAGGCGGCACCATCTTGTTTTTCATTTCTGCACATGCGCAGAACAATTTTTATTACATTGCACATCAAGTATGCTTGTGTGCACAGTGCGCTCACAAGCAAACCGGCAATAGTGTCTGCCGGAAACCACCCCTAGATGGGATGGGATTGGATGGGATACTTTGCAAAGTTATTTGCATGAAGGGAGCACATCCCCTTGAAGGGATAAAGTAACTGCATCTTTGAGGAGGCTTATCAGTTGTGTTCTGTTCCTTAAAGCAACTGAGTGAGCTTTCCCGAGGACTCATCTATTTAATATCCATTGAGAAGATGTGTGTGTGTGTGGGGGGGGATTTGGTCATTCTGTTTTTTTAAGAAACTTTCTTTTCACATATTTTGTACGGTAATTATTCTTGTAATTATTTTCTATAGTTACAATGTTCTAGTAATTAAAGATAATATATATGCAATTGAAACAAGGTTGCATTATGTGTTGTAAAGTTGTATGTACTATAATTGCAATATTTATACATAGATGTATCTGTATCTACATCTTAATATGCTTTCCTAAAAGAGTAATTAACAATATTTGCTTGTTAGGGATTAAGATCCATTATATCTTGGATATTATAGAGATCCATATATCTTGGAATAGACCAGGAGTCTCAAACTGATGGTCCCTCCAGGTTATTCAGTTCTGCATTCTCCTTAGACCCATACACAGCAGAAGAGCAATAGTTTGAAGGAGGCGGGGACTTGCAAATCTGAGCCAGGTGCTATAGATTTTGTCTTAGGGATGAAAAAAGTGAATCCAAAGGACAAACATCAAAGTGTCAGAAAACTGTCACAGTTTTCAATACGCTTGAAACAGCACCCAGCACCACTGCTATTGCTTTAGGGCAGGGGTGTCAAACTCAAGGCCCGTGGGGTGCTTAGATCTGGCTTGTGGGGCTGCCCTGGAAATAGTAAAGGTCTGCCCACAGTGCCTCCGTCAGCAAAAACAGAGCTCGGGAGGGCTGTATGTGCCCCTCCCAGGCTCCGTTTTCGCAGGCAGAGGGCTGCAGGAGGATTCCCCCAGCCCCGCCTCGGTTACCACATGTGCTCCCTGACATGAGTGACATCAAGCTGGCCACACCTACCCTAGCCATACTCACCCCGGCTATGCCCGTTCGGCTTCTGGGGGTCAAACACAACCCTGATGGGCCCTCAATGAAATTGAGTTTGACACCCCTGCTTTAGGGTGAAAAGCATAGTCCTGATGTGGCAGGCTGAGGAGAGGCTGCAGGCCTAGGCCCATGCTGAACCACCATTGATGCCTAGAAGGAATAAAGCCTAGCAAGATTCACAAATAGTTGCCCTGCTTTGGGCAAAATCATTCCCTTGCTTTGTGTATGTGGCCCCAAATTTGGCAGCACCTTCCTCTTCCCTCCTTTCTTGTCCTGCTCAGTCACTCCAATTGTAACTCTAGATCTCTAAAGACACACTTCAGTTTTCTTATCAACAAATTGTTTGGGTTGTTTTTTTGGCAGAGCAAGAGGACACCGTTATCTCTTCCCTCCTTCTGCCAAATAGCAAAGACACCAAAATAATTTGTTGGCAAGAAATCATTGCAATCTCTGCCCCCAATGTAAGAGAGCACATTATTAGAGGTCTGAACTATGATAAGGGGATTTGAAAGGAGAAAAAATACTGGGTTAATTTGGAACTCAAATCTGAAGTTTAGACTCAAATCTTAAACTTGATTTAAAATCCCAAAATGTCCTTGTTTACATTAATTGTAATGGGAAAACCCATTTTTTCTATTTTCTATTATAATTACCTGAATGTGAGCTACATTTGCAATAATTATTGTCTCTTATGAGAGGGTGACGTTTGCTACATTGAAAGCAAAGCATTATTATCCTCCCCTTTAAAAAGAATTGCCAATTTCATTTATATTTCTTGTCAAAATTGGAAATAATTTCCCAGGATGTTGCTTTTTCTGAGAGGAAAAATCTAGTTAACTTTCTAGTGATTTGTATTATTTTTCAAAAGCAACCAAACCAAATGTTGTTTTGGTTAATCATAGGCACCAATAGTTAATTATTGAAAAGGGAAATAGTAAAAAAAATGGCCATTTTAAAAATGTGTTCTTCCTTTGCTTCTTTTTTAATTCATAGAGATTTTCTATATCAAAGTATGAAAAAGCTTCAGTTCTGCAAAGCTTAGACCAAGGAATTATTCTTCAGATGACACTTGTGATGGTTTGAGTCCCCTGGATAAGTGGGCACAAAATGTTTTGTCTCAAACCTTTTCAACTTCAACAATTGTTCTCTTCTAAGTGTGAAACTGTTGTTTTGACCAGATCTTGTTTCTCAGTATTTTAGAAATTGTGTTAAGCTTGAAAAAAGGTGTTTAGGAACGGTTCCATTTAGAAATACCCCATTTCAAGCACCAACACTTACAAAATTGTTACTCCTGCCTGCATGAATGTAAAAAACAATGAACACAGCGGTAGTAAATTGAATCAACCACTTACCTAATCTTCCATACATATCTAATTGCCTCTAATTGCAACATTTTGGTGGCTAGTGATTACATCTAATGGCTGGGGACAGAAAAGGTATAAAAGTAAACAAAATGCTTTTTTTTTTTGCATTGCTTAGATTTATATTGCGGTGTGCATCTTCAGTTTAAGTTGGGAATGCATATCCTTTTGAAAAATAAACATTAGAGCAATGTCATTCATGTTTTCAGCTGGAGCTGCCTCTATCATTTTTTCCAACGGTCGTGATTTATTAATTGGGGACATTCATGGAAGAAGTTTTCGAACTCTGGTACAATCCCAGAATCGTGGAGTGGCTGTTGGTGTGGACTTTCATTTTCAGCTGCGTAGGATATTTTGGACTGATACTGTGCAAGATAAGGTAAGTTGAAATGTACAAATAGCTTTCTTGGAAGCAAAGGCATTCAAGAATGGTATGTGTGTTGATAACTTTTCATTTCTCTGAACAGATGCAGAGCCCTTCTTTGTTTCCAAACAAAAATGAACTTTTGAGATGGTTCTGTTGATAATTCCGACATTTCTTAGCTATGCTTTTACATGTAATATATCGAACAAAGCGTGCATTATGCTATGGCATCATCGTGAGCAGGTCTTAATATGATTGGAAAGAGAGCCCAAAAACCTAATTAAGAGAAATAGAACATTCTTTCAGAACTCTGCTGCAATTGCTTGAAACCTGATCACTTAAAGTGTAGAAGTACTGTGTTTTCTGGGAAGATAGACATAAGATATTTCTCAAGTATATTAGTATAATTGAGCTTTGGGCAACAAATATTGACAATTTATCATGCTGCAGGCCAATATTTTTTATGTCATTGCTTTTTTTTTCATTGCCTTGCTTTTTACTGGAATAGTAGCAGTAGCAATAGCAATAGCAGTAGACTTATATACCGCTTCATAGGCCTTACAGGCCTCTCTAAGCGGTTTACAGAGAGTCAGCATATTGCCCCCAACAATCTGGGTCCTCATTTTACCCACCTCGGAAGGATGGAAGGCTGAGTCAACCCTGAGCCAGTGAGATTTGAACCGCTGACCTGCTGATCTAGCAGTAGCCTGCAGTGCTGCATTTAACCACTGCGCCACCTTGGCTCCTAACAAATAATATAAAACATAAATTTGGTTTAATGATGTTTGGTAGTTTTAAAGCATGTGATGTGGATATAGACTAAAGAATTGAAAGATTTTCCTTCCCCCCCCCCCAAAGTGCATTGAAAGGCATGTTAACATCGCGTTCTTAAAAAAGCACAGTATGGAGAGGTGAAAGGAATATTCTCCTAGCATAGATTTTTCCCCCTGAAGTTTTCCTTGGTTCCTTGAATTATATCAGGGCTTAGTGACCTAATTTTTATTCTTCTGCTTACTGCGGCATGTAATGGATTTGGATTTAGATCGATATTTAGTTCAGTTAATCCATAAAATAGCTTGCTTGTAATTGCTATACAGGAACCAGAGCATAGATATACTATAACTAGGTTGTGCTTCATACCAAACTTGAAATCGTCTTAGCTTTGCTTTGCATATTATCCCTTTTAGTTTGCAGTTCAGCATATGATGTAAATGCAGCTTGTTGGATAAATCTATGTGCATGAATTATAGAGGACAACTCAGATTACTAGTTAGAAGGGGGAAAAAACTACTCTTAAACAATGGTTAAGAATGGAATTTATGATCAGTGCCCATGCAGATGTAACAAGTTGACAGAGGTGAAGTCACATTGAAGAGATTTGAAATACAGGCGGTCCTCGACTTAGGACCACAACTGAGCCCAGAATTTACATTGCTAAATGAAAAATTTATTAAGTGAGTTTTGATCCACTTTACAACTTTTCTTCCCACATTTGTTAAATAAATTACTGCAGTTGTTACGTTAGTAACCTGCTTCTTAAGTGAATCTGGCTTCCCCATTGACTGTGCTTGTCAGAAGGTCGCAAAAGGGGATCACATGACTGCAATGGTCGTAAATGTGAACCAGTTGCCAAGCATCTGCATTTTGATCATGTGACCATGGGGATGGTGCAAAGGTCATAACTGTGAAAAACGGTCACAAGTCACTTTTTCAGTGCTGTTGTAACTTTGAACGGTCACTAAATGAACTGCTGTAAGTCGTGGACTACCTGAAATTGGGGACTTAATACTTCATGGATCAGCGTTTTCACAATTCCTCTTATAATAAATGCATGCAGGATTTATTTTTGTTTGGAAATTGTGCTAATATGAAAGTGGCCCTGAAAACATACCGCATCCTAAGTCCTAAATCGCCATTGCTTTCTTTTTCAGGTTTTTTCTGTCAACCTTGATGGCTCGGATATCTATGAAGTTTTAAATATTTCAGTCGACACACCAGAAAACCTTGCAGTAGACTGGATTAACAACAAGCTGTATATAGTGGAGACCAGCGTCAACCGAATTGATTTGGTAAATTTGGATGGAACCAATCGAGTAACTTTGATTGCAGAAAGTTTGGGCAACCCTAGAGGAATAGCTGTGGATCCTACTGTTGGGTAAGTGATAACACTGATTAAAAGATACTACCCTCCTTTGAAAAATTTTGGCTTGCTGTTTTTCAAATGCATCATCAATTGCTCAATAAAATATTACTAGGTGTTGATGGAAGAGTTGATGGAGTTTGGCGTGCTTTACTTCCTTCTCCTTCCCTAGAAATTCTCTTCTGGTCCTTATTTCATATTTCTTTTTTTAAAAAATCTGGATATTATGCAGAAAAGAGCAAAGGAAAAGTTGCAATTCAGCTGCATGTCTCTGATGAGAATGATAGAGAAATGCTGAACAATAGCAATAGCACTTAGACTTATATACCGCTTCACAATGCTTTTACAACCCTCTCTAAGCGGTTTACAGAGTCAGGGTATTGCCCCCAACAATCTGGGTCCTCATTTACCCACCTCGGAAGGATGGAAGGCTGAGGCAACCTTCAGTCTGGTCAGATTCAAACTGCCAAATTGCAGGCAGCCGGCAGTCAGCAGAAGTAGCCTGCAGTACTGCACTCTAACCATTGTGCCATCGAGGCTCATATGTTACAGGTGCAGTATCTGGTGAAGATAGGCATCTTTTATTTCTTAATTCAAAAGTTCTTTTCAGCAAAGTCAAAGCTAAACTGTGTTTTACAAAGAATGGATCATAAATTATGATTTATGGGTCACAGTGACACCTGCTTAGCTAAAAATAGTTTGTATGTAGTATCCTTAAATCAAAAAGGAAATCCATTTAATTGTAGGTGTTGGGAGGAGGGGAAATGGATACCTGACTCGATAATTGTCTGTTTTCTGCAAAATAAAAAAGGAAATTGGATTTATTGCCAGTTGCCTTTCATATTCCTTGAACTGGATGTAGAGATAATTAGTTTCATATAAAATATGATCTGGAATATAGTTTGAAATCTCTGTAATTTCTTTTTTGAGATCTCTCCAGAGTTTGCTCTTTGTAACAGACCACTGGTGACTTGATATTTGCTTGGAGCATTATATCTTTCGCTCATCTTCTTCAGTACTAATACTTGAATTTGGGATATTTTTTTATTAAACGTGGGAATTTTAAGAAGTGTTTTCTAGTACCTTATTTTTGCTTCTAGGTCTTATATTATCTGGTTTTCTATTTACTATGATTTTATTGATTTGCGTGTCTCACAGAGAACTTTTAGTATAACCAACAATATAATATATGTAGAATATAGCTCAGTGAAATGTGAAGTGATCTGAAGCATATGAAGCCTCATTGTGGCTACCTCAGCATAAAACTGCATGATAATGGCTGCAATTCTGTATGTCCACTAGTAAGAATTCACAAGTGTGGCTGCCAATTGGGTGGTACTTTCTGCACCTACTGTAATGGATTTTTATGCATGAAAATGTAATGCCACAATAAGTGTTTTGGTCCTTAAAGTGCCACGTGTTTTGGTCCTTAAAGTGCTAGATTCCCACTTGATGCTAAATAGTGATTTGTTTCAGCATAACAAATTATATAAACCACAGCTGGCTGGATTCACGCTAAGCCCAATCCAGACAAACTATATTTCTGCTTACTGCTTTGTGTAAGCCAGGTCTTTGTATCATTTATCTAAAGATTGAAGGGATACTAAAAGGGGTTTTCTTCTCTTTTCTCTTTCTTTTACAGTTATTTGTTTTTCTCAGATTGGGATAGTCTTTCAGGTGATCCTAAAGTAGAAAGAGCCTTTATGGATGGAACAAATCGTCTGGACTTGGTTAAAACAAAGTTGGGATGGCCAGCTGGGATAACTCTGGATATTGTATCAAAGAGACTCTACTGGGTAGACAGTCGATATGATTATATTGAAACGGTGACCTATGATGGGCTGGAGAGGTAGGAGAAGATCTTAATAAGATGCAAAGAGAGTCATTTACTTTTACTTCTTTACATTTTTTAGAAATAAATGAGCTGCATCAGACTAAAAAAAAAAAGACTGTCGTGATCCAAAGGTGTTTTTTTTCAAGAGGCAACTGGACTTCTTTGTTTTTCTTTGAAGACTTTTCGCTTCTTATCTGAGAAGCTTCTTCAGTGTCTTCAAAGAAAACCCAGAAAGTCCAGTTTCCTCTTAAAAAAAGTATCTTTGGGACAACCATGACCTGGATGACTGAGAAGCTCCATAGACATTTCGCTACTCTGTCATGAATTGCTTCCTTTAAATGCCGTTAAGACTTGCATGGGATTGAGATATTAATTCCTATCCTTCAGTCTCTGAATTTGGTCAGAAATTATCTAATTAATGGGAAGGCAGCAAGGACTCCTTGTTGCATGCACTAATCTCTGAGTGCCAAACAAAGAAGAAGAAGGATGTCTTTTCTATGCTGATCCTAAACGGATAGCAGCAGAAAAGAACATATTTATTGTGTTCAAAGATTTGCATACTATTGATAAGAAAGGAGAATTCCTGGACCTTAATACTGTCCCTGCCCTAATAAGCAAACACAGGGAAGGACTCCCTGTGTGTAGGTATTGTTTCTTACATTGCATCATACTCAGTGCAATTTTTTGGGGGATTGTAGCAAAAAATCCTTAAGCCTTTTATTGCTATCTTTGTTTTCCTTTTTAATCAGCACTTTCCAAGGCCATTTCTGGTCTTTACAGAAAAGAATGCAAATAGAATTGCCTTTCCATAAGATAAAATAACTTATATTGCACAAAAGCAACTTTTCTTCAAGAAAACCAATATAAGATTCCTTTTGTTGATGTTTTTGGTTTTCCTCGTTTTTAAAAACGGAGCTGTGTGTTAAACCACCACATTTCCCCTCTGAACGTTTGTTTCTTGCATCTTTGGTTAACATGATTCAAATATTTTGTATTCATTATTGATTTTTCTTCTTGGTTGGATGATGACGTATCCTTGGTTTATCATTTCCTAGGTTACTGCTATGACCTTTGCGTAGCCTTTTTCATAGGAGTAAAAACATGATGAAATATTTGTAGCCTGTAAGCTATTTCTTTTCAGTATTTCTAAAAAGAATATACCTTTAACAGGAAAACTGTTGCTCATGGAGGCTCATTGATTCCACATCCCTACGGAATAAGTCTTTTTGAACATTCGGTGTATTTTACTGATTGGACCAAAATGGCAGTGATGAAAGCCAATAGGTTTGCAGATTCTAACCCACAAGTGATTTTTCAGTCTTCCTTGCGTCCCTACGGAGTAACAATTTATCACGCTTTCCGACAGCCACATGGTAAGTCAAATGATATAGGGTTGCCAAAAGATATTTTACACTGTTCTTATTGTGGCTCAACTGTTAGAAAGCACAGCAAAGATAACTGTGCGGTCAATGTACCAGTGGGGCCAGAAGACAAAACGTCAGCATTTTTCTGTTTTTTTTCTTCTCTGTTGTGTTCTCCCTCTTTTCTTCCTCTCTCCTTGATTCATGCCGAGCAAATAGCTTTAACTAATGGTCTAAGTAGATCCCTGCCTAGGGTTTTTGAAATTAGCCCAAGGTCAGAGATATCGCAAAGCTGCAGGTAGTCCATCCCTGCCCAGTGTAAATTCATTTACTTCTATTGATTTATTCTCATTGAAAACAATGAGATTTCAATTACTGAATAGGCTAATTTGCAGTTAGGCTTCAGCTCACGTGAAGCACAATTATTCTGATGAAACTACATTCCAAATAGAAAATGGTTCACTGGGAAAAAATTGCAATTTTCTTCCGTACATGTCAACATATATTTCAAGGATTGACTGATGTTTACAAAAAAAGTCCTCTTATGCTGAGCACAAGGATTTCTTTAAAGGATGGCCAGCACTATCAATTTGAAAGAGAGAGACAGAATGCTTAGAATTGGATTCCTATTAACTCAGTTGCCAAAGCAGTGAATAAGCAACAGCAGACTATGGATCAATTTCCAGTCAGTACAGTCGCAATCCCAGCACCTCTGCAATATACCAGGCTGTATTTACAATGGAATGAGTATATATAACTATACTTGGACTGGTATGTATGGTTTTATAGGGGAACTGCAGATACAAAATACATTTTAACAGACTTTCAAAGGTAACTTATACCATTCTTGGTCTATACACCAACTCCTAATTTAGCAACCAAGTTCAATTCCAGTGATCGGATCATTTAGGGGAATAATTGCTAAATGTAGACATAACTAAGAGGCAGAGTGATATCCTATAAAGATCATCTCATTCAGATAGCAATAGCAATAGCACTTAGACTTATATACTGCTTCGCAGTGCTTTACAGCCAGCCCTCTTTAAGTGGTCTACAGAGTCAGCCTCTTGCCCCCAACAATTTGGGTCCTCATTTTACTGACCTCGGAAGGATGGAAGGCTAAGTCGACCTTGAGCTGGTGAGATTCGAACTGCCAAATCAGCAGAAGTAGCCTGCAGTACTGCACTCTAACCACTGTGCCACCACGGCTCTTTGGGATGGCAAAGGGTTTTCTAGAGAAAGCTGAATGCTGGAGAATGACCCCTTAAAGAAACTTTAAATAAGGCATGCATAATAGGCAAATTTGGACATAATTATTTGAGTATGTCTGAAAAGTTGGAAAAATATAGATATTTTTTCCTTGAGATGAGTCACTTATTTGTATATAACAGAAATAGACAGCTTGTGGGCCCCTGCCTGTGAACCATCCATTTTGCAGCCTCTCCCTGAAACAGAGTTTAAAATATGTGGTTTATCTTTTGGCCTCTGTGGTAAACCTAAAGAAATGAAGTTGTAGCCATACATATTGCAATGCAAGTGGAATGTATATGTGTCTGCTGACTGGTTTTCATCTTCCCCTTTAAGGCAAATGGGACAAAGTTCCCATCACTTCCAGTTAGTTGCTATATCTGACGAAAGTTATAATGTAACAATCTGGAGGGCATCATGCAACCCAAAAGCCCACACAAAGGATGAGATAATGGCATAAAGTCATTCTTCACCCAAGGTTTTATTGTAAATGTACACATGGGTCAGAAAAGGAATTTTTAATGACCATTGATGACCATTGTAAATGCAAATGGCCAGTGACTGAAAGTAGTTTTTAATTGAGAAGTGGGTGCATACATGAGAAATGTCAGCAAAATTAAGAAAAACTTCATGTACACCTGATGCTGTGCGTGAAACTTATATAAAATATATTGTCTTCCAGTAAGAAATCCTTGCGGTGTTAATAACGGTGGATGTGAACAGATTTGTGTTCTCAGTCACAGAACTGACAATGATGGTCTAGGCTACCGCTGCAAATGCATGTTGGGCTTTGACTTGCACGCTGATGGACGACGCTGCATTGGTAGGTACTGCCGGGACACATGTTGCATAGAATTTCTACGGATAATCATATCAACTGCTTTTCTCCCTGGTTTTTGAAGAGTATTCTGTTGTCAGATGGTGATGAATTTGTCTAAAACTTTTAGAATCTTCAAACTAATGCCATGTGAATGCTCACATGCTTCCTCAAATACCAGTTTGCTTTCAAATTTGAAAGATGTGTATCCTTAATACTTGCCTCATTCATATCCTAATATCTCAGAAAGGCTAAGAAGGAGATAATAAAACCGGAGTGATCTTTAGATTCTAAAATTCCCAAATTCTTGGGATTTAATCTAATAAAGTTAGTCTATTGATTTCAGAGATACTTCAACGAGTAGCTGAGTCAGTATGTAGTAGCTAAGATTTCATAACTGACTGTAGCCCTTATTTTTCATCAAATTTATTTACCACCTTTCTTCCATTATGGAATAAAATAGAATAACAGAGTTGGAAGCGACCTTGGAGGTCTTCTAGTCCAACCCCCTGCCTAGGCAGGAAACCCTACACCACTTCAGACAAATGGTTGTCCGATCTCTTCTAAAAAACTTCCAGGGTTGGAGGCAAGTTGTTCCACTGATTAATTGTTCTAACTGTCAGGAAATTTCTCCTTAGTTCTAAGTTGCTTCTCTCCTTGATTAGTTTCCATTCATTGTTTCTTGTCCTACCCTCAGGTGTTTTGGAGAATAGCTTCACTCCCTCTTCTTTGTGGCAACCCCTGAGATATTGGAACACTGCTATCATGTCATCCCTAGTCCTTATTTTCATTAAACTTGGAAGTTTTAGTAAAGGTTATACAGTGAAACCTCTGGTCACAACCCTAAACCCTTCCAGAACTTCGGTCACAACCTGATTTGGTCATGACCGGAAGCAAGACTGACTGTGCATGCGCATTAAAAAAATGGTGCAGAAGAGGAAATCACCGCAGCAGGGAAAATTGCTGTGGCATTTGTTTGATCAGAACCCAAGGATGTGTTCGCAAGTAGTGGGAAACATTTAGCAGATTTTTTGGTCGGCACCCGATTTGGTCATGGTCAGAAGCGTTCGTGACCTGAGGTTCTACTATATAAATAAGCATTTTGCAAGTTTCACCATTACCAGGAAAAAGGACTGCTCCTTTGTTGAATCCAGAAAGACTAGGATTTTTTTAAAAACAAAACAAAACCTTAAAAGCTCTCCATACTAATATAATTTTGTTTCTAAATGAGAATCAATTCAGTTAGTGAAATTCCTATTAACTCATCGCTTCCACCTCTAATATAAATCCTCGGCCACTCTTGCCTCGTAGGATTTGAATTTGATCTTGGGGCCAAAGAACCTGGTAAACACACAAGTATCAGTGACCAGATACTGAAATAATTTGCTGCATTACCTGTCTTCCAGTCTTTTCTATGTACTTAGTTATTATTGCCCTCTTCTTTCATTTTTAAATGATTTTCTCTTCCAACATGGTGCTTTTACACTAAGAGTTGCTTTTTGTATTTTTATAATTTTCCTGTAATTTACGTTTTTAAGACGGTTAAAAAAAACTATTTTAAGGTTGTTGTGATCTTAAAATAAAGATTTTAATTTTAATTTTATTTTTTTCACAGCTGTGCAGCAATTTCTGCTCTTCTCCTCCCAGTTCTCTGTGCGTGGAATTCCATTCAATCTTTCCACTCAGGAAGATGTAATAATTCCTGTATCAGGAAGTTCTTCTTATTTTGTGGGAATTGACTTCTGGGCCCAAGAAGACACTATATTTTATTCAGACACCACTAAAGATATAATATATAAACAAAAAATTGACGGGACAGGTAATATTTCCTTCCCTTGAACAGAAACAGAGTTAATAATGATGTCATTATCTCACAACGGTTGAAAGTCAATTTCTCTATTACATCCATGGTTTGGCTGATCTTGTTTTAATAAGGGTTTTGCAGAACTGATTATGTTTGCACATCATACTATGTCATGTTCTTGTCTTATTGAGGTCCACACACGTCACTAAGATGTTAGCCAGGATTTACAATTTGTAGTGGCTGATTCTATACATTATGCTAAACCAGAATTAAGCAGAACGTGTGCGACTGGCATATTCTGTGAATCAGTGTGTGCAAAAGTTCCATGAAGGAATAACGTTATAGGGTTGGACCATAGGAGATATAAAATAAAAAGTATTATGTATGTTGGCCACCTTCAGTTATTTATAAAGTAAGAAATGCAGCATAAACATCTAATTAATAAATAAATACACCAGGAAATCCATCCCATTCTGGAATTATTTTATTTTATTTTCTAAAACCACTGGATCAATGGCTACATACTAGGCATGGAAGAAAAATGGAAAAGTTCCAGCATTCCAGAGGTGGTTTTCAGCAGGTTCTGACCAGTTCTGGACAACCAGTAGTGGAAATTTTGAGTAGTTCGGAGATTCAGTAAATACCATTTCTGATTAGCCCCGCCCCCATCTATTCTCTGCTTCCCGAGTCCCAGCTGATCAGGAGGGAATGGAGATTTTGCTGTAACCTTCCCCTGGAGTGGGGAGGGAATGGAGATTTTACAGTATCCTTCCCCTGCCACGCCCACCAAGCCATTCCCACAGAACCGGTAGTAAAAAATTTTGAATCCCACCACTGCAGCATTCCACAGACTGTTCTAGTCTGTAAACCATAAGTTAAAGCCAGTGAGTAGGGTCAATGTTGAACAAGATTGGGGAAAAAGGGGAAGGAGGAATTCTGTGATTTATGAAGGCAATTTTGAAAAGTGTGTCTTGATAGGCATGTTGTTTATAATTGGAATCTGCCTTAGGGAACTCTATTATTGATCTCTCCAATCTGTTTAATCTGCTGGTTGCAATTCTCTGAGATTTAATACATGTAGATATCATTTCCTCATCCTAAGCTTTGTTGTAGAGAAAGCAGTTTCATTGAGATACAACACTTATATTTTATCATATTAAATTTAACCTTAAAAATGAAAGCGGGGAAGCCACTCCTTCCAGTTTTGATACATTGCTATTTCCTAATTATCAGGTAGAGAAATCCTTGCAGCCAACAGAGTGGAGGGAGTTGAAGATTTGGCTTTTGACTGGATCTCAAAGAATATCTATTGGACAGACTCTCGGTATCGGAGTATTAGCGTTATGAGGCTGGCTGATAAATCAAGACGAGCTATTCTTCAAAATTTGAATAATCCTCGATCAATCGTAGTTCATCCAGTTATTGGGTAAGTCTCAAAATCAAGCATAGTGTTCAAAACATACAGCACAATACAGTCTTCCTGTTATATTATCTCTTCTGAATGAAGGTGCTATAATGTTTATCTGAAATTTCCCATTCAAAACCTCACTGCCTGAGGAATGTTTCTACTTAATATGTTAGATTTTTTTAAAAAATATAGGCTGTTAAAAAAAATAATGAATATTCAAACAAATTATTTTCTCCCTCTGCACTCGTTAGGACAGAAAAATGCCTCTTGTCATGGGGCCAAGAAAAAGCAAAAACAGAGTTGGTCTGGACAAAAGCTGTATTTGATTTCATATGGAATTAAAGTGCAGTTAATGTGACTATTTCCCATTGGTTTAGTAATACTCCTTTCTGTTATGTTCATGCATGCACTTTGGAAGCAACATATAGGAGGCTATGAGAATCACAGTCAGTGGTATTAATGAAACCTTTAGGTGGTGCATAGATGGTGCATTAGGACTTTTGAGGGTTCTCATGGCTCATTTTCCAGCAGGAAAATTTTCCAGATATTTTAGAATGCTTGTTGCAATGTGTTTGTTGTGACACGCCAGTGGCCAGCGGAGCTGTTGGCAGACTCAGATAGTGAGGAGGTTGGGGAGGAACATGGGCCAGTCCTGGAGTCGGGAAGGCTCTGATGAGTGCTGTGTGTTGGAGGCAGAGATGGGGCCAGGGTCAACCAATAGTTATCAGCTGCCTTCAGAGTCAGAAATCAGTGTGGCAGAAGAACAGCTGGAGCCTGTTCCCAATGTTTGCTGCACAGAGCTGCCAGGAGAAGGGAACGATTAAGGAACAAGGTCCGACTCAGGAATAAAGGCACAAGTGAACGGTGAATGGGAATAAAGAGGAGCGAAAGGGGAGTGGGGATTGCAGGAGACAGTTCGCTTAATTAGCGTGAAGATTTGTTTGTGACTCTCAGAGATTCCTTGCCAAGTATTTTCTTGTACAGCAGTTGCATTTTGAAGATATCAGCCTGGAAGCTCTCCAAGCCTGAGAAGGTCTGTGGTTTAAAAGACTGTTTGCCGGGACTTGCTGGATGTGAATGAGAGGAATTCTCATTAGCTTAATAAAAAGGGGTTTTGTCAGGGCAAGGAGTCTGCTTCGTGATTTTGGGAAGCTTAGGTCAGAACGGTGTTTTCTTGAAAACCTATCTGTGTTTTCTGGATCTTTCTTTAACATTCAAGCCCAAGGGCCTCTCTTTTCCCTTCTTAAAAAACCTCCTTCTGTTTATGCTCCTCCCTATCCCTCATCCCCTGTTCTTCTGGCACCAATTCCATAATCCAGCGCAAAACACTAAGTGGTACAAAATTAGCACAAAGGGGGCCATTCAGCAGCTTTATCTTTAAAAACCAAGACATGTTTGTTCTGTGGTTTTCTTCCCCGGCCTGCAAAATAGCTTATTGCTTCAGAAGAGGTGCTGTTATCGTTGCCTTGTTATCAGCATGAATAGTTCCTACAGAGGAAGAATATGAGTGTGCATTTCACTTACCTAAGCTCTTAGGCACAGTTTTGAGAGTGATTTCAGAAAGCAATAATCTCTGCAGGTTTTATTCTCATTGGTTGGGCAGGCAGACCTAATGTGAGACTTACTGTCTCCTAATATTAGTTACTCGGGAAAATTTTCTCTCATTCTGAATAGAATAGAATTCTTTATTGGCCAAGTGTGATTGGACACACAAAGAATTTATCTTTGGTTCAAGTGCTCTCAGTGTACATAAAAACAAGATATATTTGTCAAGAATCATAAGGTACAACACTTAATGATAGTCATAGGGTACAAATAACCAATCAAATCATACTAGGAAACAATAATATAAATTGTAAGGATACAAGCAACAAAGTTACAGTCATGCAGTCATAAGTGGGAGGAGATGGGTGATAGGAACAATGAGAAGATTAATAGCAATAGTAATGCAGACTTAGTAAATAGTTTGAAAGTGTTTAGTGAATTATTTGTTTAGCAGAGTGATTGCATTACCGAAAAAACTGTCCTTGTGTCTCATTGTTCTGGAATGCAGTGCCCTATAGCATTATTTTGAGGATAGGAGTTGAAATGATTTATGTCCAGGATTTGAGGGGTCTGTAGATATTTTCACATTTCTGGGTTAGAAGACAGATATTTTTTAATTGAAAGGGATTTTCTTTTTCTTTCTTCTTCTTTTCTGCTCCTCTTTCTCAGAAGGGAATGTAAATCGGTCAACTGAAGACTGTTTACTCTTGTTAATTAATGGACGGGGGGGCGGGCGGGGTGGAGACACTTCCACTTGCAGCAATAAACGTTGAAATCTTTTTAAAAGCAAAAATATTAGAAATAACTCTGAAGAGATGTTTCAGGACTTTTTAAAAATATATCCATTCATGAATATTGTTATGTAAGCTCCCCGTTGGGAGACCGAGTACGTGCAGAGAAGCGTTGTGAGAGTTGTGTTGGAGAACACACAAACCAGCATACAGAGACATTGCAGTTTAAATAGGCTTTTACTTTCGTGGAAATAGAGGTATCAGAGTCCATCAAACAGTCCAAGTCATACACGGTTAAGACAGTCAGTCATCAATGTCTTTCAGTTAAGGGATAATCCAAATAACATAGTCCAGTATCATATAATCAGTTCAGTACTCAAAGTTTGCTAGCAGTTGCAAAACTTACAATAGCTTATGGCACTTTCTAACAGCCAGCTTCCAAAACACTCAGATCAGATCAGCCCAGCATCTAACAAGCAGAGAGCTAATAGTCATTCTGGCTCCCTCTTATGGCCTATTGAGAAAAACAGCAATCAATCACATTTTGCAGTATGATTTAAAGAAACAGGTATAGCATTGTTACATGATTTATATACGTATTGCCAACCCAACCATTAGATTATATTCCTAACAAATATGGTTCATGATTATCAGTAAGATTGTGATTACTTATTAAGTAATGTTATATTTTAATAATGATAACCATGGATGTAAGAACAAAATAATCTCTTGCGTGGGAACTTAAATATAAAACATACAAGTCAATTTAAAATATTTGTTAAGTGTCTAAAGCAGGGGTGTCACACTGGTGGCCCGTAGGCAGGATGTGTCACACGCAAGCCACACCCACCCCAGCTCTGTAAATGGGAAAAACGTCATGTGATGGTAACATGACACCACAAGTTTGACACCCGTGGCCTAAACTGTGTCCTATCAAAAATCTGAATGTAAAAAAGCTGTGCAAGCAAAGCTAAAATAGAAAAAGTGCTAGAGGATAGGTTTTATTTTAGGGATAAATTGGGCATCTACATCAAAAAATTTTATTTATTTTGCAGGAAGGATGCCAATATTTGCAATATTATCTGCAACTCTAATGCACTTCCCTTTCACTTTCAGATACATATTTTGGACAGATTGGTTCCGCCCTGCTAAGATCATGAGAGCCTGGAGTGATGGATCCCATGCCTTACCAATTGTAAACACGACACTGGGATGGCCTAATGGCTTAGCTATTGATTGGAGGTTCGGAAAAATAATAATCAAATAAGCTTTTTTTGAGGAGATGTTCAATACCTTGACACTACAAATAGCAAATGCAACTAGATTGTTATAGTTCTGTTTTGAAGGCAGCCAATTATTTTTGTGTAGAATTGAAAAACTTAAAATGAGCAAGGAAAAACTTCCAAAACCCAATACCGCAGAATAAGGTTATACTTTAACTTATCCCAGTTTTTTTTAAAAAGGGGGACATTTTAAATCAAACTTTTGCTGATTGAAAAAGCACGTTGTTGATCCCCAAAACCATAGCCTTGGGGCATCATTGTCTATTCCAATTTTCTTGGCCCTGCAGGAATCATGTTAATCTGCTCCCTGTCTGGGTGAATGTTTTAGGGGGGAAAAAAATCCTTTAAACTAGGGGTGAAATCAACTTACCTTTGCTACTGGTTCACAAATGTGAGTGCCTGCGCCATTCAGTGCATGCGCAGGACCTTCCACGCATGCACAGAATATCAAAAATTGACATGATGATGTCCGGGTAGGTGGGCGGAGCCTGCTACCGGGCATGCCTGCAAAAGTTAGTAGAACAACAAGTGGGGGGGATCCGCTGTACCACGTGATTTAGATCACCTAGAAAGCAGGAAAGCAGGATATAAATCACACGTTACACCTGATCGTCAGAAATACCGGTTCATCCGAACTGGTAGCATTTTTTTTACTATCGGTTTGAGAAAACTGGTCTAAACTGGTAGGATTTCACTCCTGCTTTAAACGAACAAAACAAAAAATCCCAGACTCCTCCAAACCAGCTAATTTGGCTACAAGAGAGCAAGCTTTTGGAGAATAGAAAACAATGATTTATGAAGAACATTTAATGCAACCTTGTTTCTGACTTTTTTTTTTTAGCTTTCTTTAAGATTAACAAAGATTGGCTGGGAATGAATTTGGTGCATTAATCCTAAACCAATTTGGTGAGAGGTGTCAATGTCATTTCAATAAATATTATCTTTTCTTCCAGTTCCTTAAGGCTTTATTGGGTGGATGCCTTCTTTGATAAAATTGAGCACAGTACTTTTGAGGGGTTAAATAGAAGGACACTTGAGCGCATTAGTCAGATGACACATCCATTTGGTCTCACGATCTTTGGAGGTGAGTATGACATGAAAATAGGAAAACTCGGACACTTTCCAATTATCATTTTTTTCACTGCGCAACAGTTTTCATGAGACTATACATTGCAATACTATAAAGTTTGGGTTCATTAATATTCATACAAGGAGCAGTTTGATTTGATCTGGAAGATATGCATGCAAATACCATGTTTCCCTGAAAATAAGACAGGGTCTTATTTTCTTTTGACCCCTGAAATAAGCACTTGGCCTTATTTTCAGGGAGATCTTTTTTTTTTTTTGAGGTGCAGGAGGCGGCCAGCATGGTCACCTCATGGCTGCTGCTGTGTTGCAATATTTTTGACCATGGCTTATTTTCGGGGGAAGGCTTATTGTAGCGCATGCACTCAAAAGCCCGATTGGGCTCATTATCCGGGAGGTCTTATTTTCAGGGAAACAGAGTATTTATTATATCCATGTTTTCGCTAGTTAAAGAAAGTCTATATATGAAATTTGTTTACATATAACCTTCTGTAGTTTATGTTTTTTCTATGCATGTTAATATACATAATTGCCCAGCGATATAAGCAATCCTTACGTAGATAAGTAGGTAGACAGACAGGCAAATAGACGGGCAGGTTCTTAAATGTATATTTTTTTAAATGCAATTTCCTTGAAAACAGGCAGTTTGGGACAGATGTTAGGAAATTATGTGTCTGTTTTGGGCCATTGTTTGATGCATCATGTCCTTTCACTGAAAAAAGATCACCAGAATTCTTTTACATCTCTAGTAAAGAGTATTTTCAAGTTTTCATTTCCTTGTGAAACTAACGGGAAGCAACTAGAGTCTAACCCTCTTCTCAGATGCCAAAATAGGATAACATTGAGTAAAAAAAAAATCCCACTTCTAGGGTGATATAATATTCCTACTTTTCCACTGCAGTCCATGTGCCTGGAAAAAAAAAAACCAGTCTAAAGGAAAATGACCCTGGCCATGCAGAAGTTGGTTATTCCTAGTTTTCCTTCCTTAAACAAATGGGCACTTCTGTCCTTCAAGCAGAATAATAATAATGTTTGTTTTGTTGGGGTTGCAGGTTATGCATACTTTACAGATTGGAGGCTTGGTGGAATAGTTCGAGTTCGAAAGTCTGATGGAGGGGAAATGCTTGTCATCAGGAGAGGAATCAATAACATAATGCATGTAAAAGCATACAATGCTCAGTCTCAAATAGGTAGGCTTATTTGTCACACAAAATAAGTATATGTATGTATGTATGTATGTATGTATGTATGCATGCATGTATGTGTATATATCTGTATGTATAAATGTGCAGGTAGTCCTCGACTTACAACCAATTGAGCCCAACATTTATGTTGTTAAGTGAGACATTGGTTAAGTGAGTTTTGCCCCATTTTATGACACTTCTTGCCACAGTTGTTAAGTGAATCACTGCAGTTGATAAGTTAGTAACCAAGTTGTTAGGTGAATCCGGCTTCCCTATTAACTTTGCTTGTCAGAAGGTCACAAAAAGTGATCACATGACCTGGGGACAAAGCAATGGTCATAAATGTGAACCAGGTGCCAAGTGTCTGAATTTTGGGGGTGCTGCACAGATCATAACTGTAAAAAACAGTCATAAGTCACTTTTTTTCAGTGCCGATGTAATTTTCAACGTTCACGAAACGGAACTGTTGTAAACTGTTGTAAATTGTTGTAAATTGAGGACTACCTGTATCCTTTTTGATAACACGATTGCATATTAAAGTTTAACTGTTTGCAAAATTAAGTTCAGTTTCAGCTAAGGTTTTTAGACAGGTCAGGAGTTATGTGTTCTTAATTCTGAGACAGTCAATCTTGCTACATTTTAATCTTGTGTGTAAGTATTTATATTTATTACACACCGATAGAGCTATTAATAAAGCAAAAAATAAAACAAAACCACCAACCTTATTCAATGTTGATTCTATCCAATTTAGTACAGATGTTACTGTTCAAAATAGAGCCAAACAAAGGCTAATCTAGAGGACTGAAACAGAATGCCACTTCTTGTTTTTTTAAATCATTGGAGAAATGATATGAATTCTGAGATGCCAATAGAATTACTTTTTCTTGCATCTAGGATCTTATAATCTTCTAGAATCTAGAAGCATAAAAAGCTGATTTTGATTTCATTTTAGCCACTACATTCACATCTTTAAGCATAAATAAATTATTGATTCCACAAAAAGCCGAATAATGAATTTCTGCTTTAATTTTTTTAACAGACGACCAGTAATTTAAATGGCAGAGAGTAAAATAATGTAATCGCCCAATAGAAAGTCTGAGTATGTGTAGTGAAGCTTTCTCTCCAATTAAAGTACACAATATTACAGAAGCGTGTGTAGCATGGCCTTTTTAATAATGTATGTCAACCTCTCTTTGAAATCAATGAAGCTCAAAGGCCTTTAATTTTGGTTGTGTTATACTTTCATTTCCCCCCCATACACTGCTTACTTCTCCAGTGAGTAAGTAATAAATGAATATAAGTATGCATTTGTGTGTGCGTGTGTAGGTGTGTGATGCAGCTGAAAAAATAATCCATAACAATCTATAACAAATCCACAACAAATAAATTGTAATCCTGATCTTTCACATTTGGATATTTGTTTTTCATGATATTTTTGAAGGCTCCAACTTCTGCAATAGAGCAACAAATCCTAATGGGGACTGCAGCCATTTCTGTTTCCCAGTCCCCAATTTTCAGAGGGTTTGTGGCTGCCCTTATGGAATGAAGCTAAGCTCCAACCAGATCACCTGTGTGGAAGATCCATCCAACGAGCCTCCCACTTTACAATGTGGTTCTTACTCTTTTTCTTGTGGCAACGGCCGATGCGTGCCCAGGTTCTATCAGTGTGATGGTGTGGATGACTGTCATGACAACACTGATGAACAAAACTGTGGATCCTTAAGTAAGTGTTGGTTACAGATCCAAAAATGATATTGTTCAAAAAAATGTGATGGGTATCCATGTCTGAAAAGCATTGATGTTGTTGAGTATATAAACAAATGATCAACACAATAGTTTATCAAACACCCACCTTCTGACATAGCGATGTTGAGAATAATAAGAATTATAAGAGTGCAAAGATGAAAAATTGTGACAGATCTGATTCCCGAGTAGTGATATATTGAGTTGTGGTGGCGCAGTGGTTAGAGTGCAGTACTGCAGGCTACTTCTGCTGACTGCCGGCTGCCTGCAATTTGGCAGTTCGAATCTCACCAGGCTCAAGGTTGTCTCAGCCTTCCATCCTTCCGAGGTTGGTAAAATGGGGATTCAAATTGCTGGGGGCAATAGGCTGACTCTGTAAAACCACTTAGAAAGGGCTGTAAAGCACTGTGAAGCAGTATATAAGTCTGTTGCTTTCTTTCTTTCTTTCTTTCTTTCTTTC